TGTGTGTGTGTGTGTGTGTGTGTGTGTGTGTGTGTGTGTGTGTGTGTTTAACTGAACTGGTTAGTTTGCTTCTAATACGGCTGTGGTTTTGATACCTGTAAATACTCATTACTGAAAAATAACTCCAAGCAAAATTCTTACTAATGATAATACTGAAAGGAGAGCATAATACTTCCAGGATAAAAGAAAATATGGATAATTACATATGGGTAGTTATGAAATCTCAAGCGTAGTGTTCCAACCTCCTCCTCTCTAAAACTTTTTTCCTGAGTTGTCCAGAATTTCATTTCCTTTCTCTACTCATTCTGAAATGGTCAAGAGGCAAGTACAATAGAAGAAGGGACAAAGCTCCTCAATAATGCAATACAGGTAACAGATGATGGGCTTTCTCCCTACTCAATGGATGTCTTGAGGTTTGCAGAGGCCCCGGAAGCAGTTGTGCTTAGAAATGACTTAATTAATTTATCTCCTTTCATTCACTGCATCTTTTCAATCACCAAAATGGAGCCCAGCAGTGATTATAATAGATATGTTATATAAACTGAAAAATACCTATGCAGCCATTTCCTTCACTAGCCTTTTCTGACCCTGGCAAAAAAACCTGGCTGGCCTGCAGTTTGTTTACACAAAAGGAAGAAGAGGTTCTGTTCACTGAAATTTTGACTTACTTGACTTCCTAAGTAACATGTGAAATTCTAGCATAATCTTATGAGAAGGCACAATCTGGTGCAAAATCTGAAAAATAGAATGGCGTTTATTGCATATTAGTAGGTTATTTCTAAGATTTTATCTCATTTCAAAGAAGTATCTTCCCCCTTTTCTTCAAAAAACACTTTTTCTCTGAAAAATAAACAATTTAAAGATGTTTTACTTCCATCCTATTTTGGCTACTCCAAAACATATCCTCTACAATGTTGCAAAACTCTGCAGATAATACTGCAGATAATAAAATCATCCAGTTGGCATCCAAAATTAGATTGATATTTTCTCATTTCTTTTTTAATCAATACTAATGAAAACAATTGACAGGATTTTTCAAGGCACAAAATTAAATTAGGTTAATTTGTAACAGTTATTGATTATAAGAAGTTATGCAATGTTCACTTGGAATGAAAGTTCCCAGAAGAGAGAAGGTAAGGGCTTGCTTTGGGGGAAGTTTTTGCACGGGAACAAAGGGTCCTGCCAGGTCACTTAGTCCCTCAAGCATTTAATAAACAATTTGCTGAGAAATACAAGGTATTGTGAAAGAATTAGGAGATCCTTTAACATAAGCAGCTTGGCGTGGTGGGGAAAAATCCCAAACACAAATAGGAGGTCAAGGGCACAGTGCCAAGCACAAAGTAAGGGCTTAATAAGAGGCAGCTGGGTGGTGCTACAGGTGGAGGCTGGACCCGGAGTCAGAAAGGCCTGAATTCTGTGTGGCTCACTTTTCTCATCTGTAAAACAGGGAGAATAATAGCACTTATTTCCTAGGGTTATTTTTCAGGATAGAATGAAGTATTATTTGTAAAGCACTTTGAAAAACTTAAATCATTACATAAATGCTATTACTATATTATTAATAAATGATCGTTCATTTGTTCATTCATTCATTCATTCTGACACAGATCCACATCTTTACTAGCCCTTCGGCAAATCACTTACAGAAACTGAATTCAGAAAGGTCATTTTTTAAATGGAGATAAAAATTTCTGCATATTTACTTCATGAGATTGTTATGAGAATTAAATAATGTACATAAAAGTACTTTGAAAACTGTAAAGCACCATGCCAATATAGGTAATATTCAAATGTATCTAAACCACATAATGGTAGTATACACTACATATGAAAAAATTAGAATTTCAAGTGAAAATATCATTTTTCTCATTTCAACATACTACAAGAAATGCTCATTTCAGTTTTTTTCCTTGCTAAGTTGTCTTGGACCCACATTTTCAAGGAACTTCACAGATCACAACACAGTCAATTTTGTGTTTGTCTTTTGAAAAATCTGTTAAAGGAAGCATGCCAAATACCATAAAGGGAATTTTTTTTTTAAGAACCACATTACAATTTGAGCAGTTGCTAAGGAAGTCAGTCACATTAGTCTCATGGATTTGGGACAATAATAAACTAAATAATAATTAAAAAACAAATTGAATAAATAAATAATATAGAAATCAAATGAGATTCTAATTCTTTAAAAAATGTAATTTGCTAAGAGATCATTCGTACCCTATAAAAAGTTGATTTTTGGTGCCACCAGGTGGCTACAAGAACCAACGCTCAGGATACAGAAAGTACTAGGCATGGCAAGAAAGGAAGACTAGAAAGGGGAGTGTATATGAAGACATCAATTGAATAAAAGTGAACTAAAAATTCTGTTAGAAAAAAAAAACAAAAACAAGCGAGTCTTTCTATTACTAGAAATCCCTGGGACCCCTTCTCAATCCAGACTCCACGACATTATTTCTTATCTTTTGAAAGCACCAGAGATAGGCTTTCCACAGTCATTCTCTGTTGGTTTCAAATAGGATCTCTCTCCTCCCCAGCCAACGACAGAACACAATATGGTCTTAGTTTTTCCTCTAACCTCCTGTCCCTGAAGCAAAGTCCCTATTTCTACAGAGGTTTTCTAAAGACAGCAAAGGACAAAAGGGTTCAATATCATGTTGTCCCTGACAACAGACAATTGTCTGTTTTTATTTATTAGACCCTATAACATGGGAGTCGGATGAAGCCTTTGGGATCCCATCTCAGAATAACGTTTTTAAATGTATAAAATATATAGCATTACAAAGGAAACCAATTATATTGAAATACAATTACCAAAATCTTTTTTAAAAAATAAGCTCATGGACTCCGGAATAAACCCAGCCCTATGGGGAAGACAAAGGTGTCTATAACTGACAATGGTGGGTCATTGAGTATAGACACAGACTCAATGAGTTCCTTAGACATTCTATCACAAGAGCAAGCACAGGACCTTTGTGGGAGAGGTCTTGGAAATGGAACGGAGGAGATGGGAAAGGACCTAAGACTCCTGTCTACAAACTATTGCTAAAGCTCTGGTACAGTGGAGAAAACAATTGATAAGAGCCCCAAGAGAAGATCCTTCTCTTTGCAATCACCAGTTTAGGCAACTACATATGTTCCTTGGACTAGAATGGGAAGGTCCACTGAGATACAGGCAAAAGGAAATTAAAAGAGAAATTTTAAGCAGAGAAAACGGGAAAGAAAGGAAAATGTTTGTAACCACTGTCCACACAAATTTCCTTGGTTGTCATTCATATACAAATTGAGCCTATGTAAGTAAGGGACCTTTAGTAATGACTACCATATCAGCTATCATCAGAGATTTCTCTCCCCATACTCAGGTTCCTACTCTCAATCAGAGGAGTCAGAGTTATAGGTGCTTACTGGGAGGGAGGTGTGAAAGAAAAAGTATTTATCTTTCATTTGTATTTTAAGTCTTTACATTAAGAATGTCATATTTTGAGGGAAATGTGAAGACAAGTTTTTATTAATATCTTTTGGTAAAAGCAAAAGAAAATTTCTACTTAAAAATTTTTATCAATATTCAAGATCTAGTTGAAATTTTAAAATGTTATACCTTAAGCACACTAATCAATTTATCTTCTGGTGCCTTTTCCTTCTTCAGAAATTTGTATAAGTAGATGTGAGCATTTGGATTTGATGGAAAGTTGTTATCATAGGCATAGTCAGTGAGCACCTGCCGGGCTCCATCTTGATCTCCATAGAATTCTAGCATCTATAAGAAAATGGAAGTCACCAACACACTAAATCAGAAACATTAAGGACATATCTGTAACAGTAAAGTTAACTAAATTTCTAAAGACCTCATTATTGACTCAGTAAAAGACCACAGCATACTATTTGGTTCATTTGGGCATGTTACACACAGAAACAGAATATAGTACAGACCGCGAGAAATGTTGCAAGTTTTGCTTTCAATAGACTTTTACTCTGCAAAAGTTTCTTTTGTGGTAGAAGAAATGCTATATTAAAGCCTTAACCACTCACACAACTTCCATTCATTCCATGGACTGTGGTGGGAAGGACTATAGACAATAGGTTGAAGCATAAGGCTACTCCCAAAGGGCCCCAAAATTTCAGTGGGAAACCTTGCTGGGGGGGGGAAGAAAATAAGGATTTTTATAGCACCTACTATGTGCTAGGCACTGTGCTAAGCAATTTTTACAAATATTATCTCATTTTATCCTCACAACAGCCCTGGAGGTTAGGAGCTATTATTATTATTATCCCCATCTGAAATTGAGGAAACTAAGGTAAAAAGGGGTTATGTGACCTGCCCAGGGTTACATAACTAGTAAGTGTCTGAGGCTGGATATGAACTGATTGTAAGCCCCACGCTGTATTGCCAGCAGCTTCCTTAAGGAGTGAAAGAGCTTCAAAGCAATACATTCACGTTCAAAAACTAAAAAGAGAGAACTGCAGGAATCTTTCCTCTTTTTCAGGGGCCCAGCTTTCCACCCAGGTTACTGGCTCACTGTTCACTATGTTCGGTGTAGGTGACTGCTCCACAGCTTTACAAATGCCATTATTACCACAACAGAATCAGTGACATTTAAGTCTGGCATTCAATGCGTAACCTGCCCAGTTTATCACCATCTGCAGGCCTCACTCCCAGGTACCTCAAGAATACAACCCTCTTGCACTTGAAAGACTCCATGGTGCCATAACCCTTCATCAACAACTAAGTGGTGAAAGGTCAGCCTCGATCTGTTGAAAATTAACCACAACTGCCTCATGGTATTGACACAATAACTCTCTTATGCGCTGTAATTCATCCTTCTACTGTGATCCTGATTTCAGATTTTTTTTTTTTACGGATGCTACACTCTCCAAGGTATTAAAAATCTGCTTTCTTTCAGGTTCTCTTAACAGTAATGAAGAATTGGGATGTGTCCTAATACAGTGGAAAGCATGCCAGCTTTGGAATCCAAGGACCTGGGTTTCAAATCCTAGCTCAACTACTTAGTATCTATGTAACCATAGGCAAGTTACTTAACTGGGACTCAGTTTCCTCATCTGTAAAATGATGAGTTTAGTCTATTATTATTTCTAGGTTTCATTCCAGCTCTAAATCTAAGCTCCTATGAATCAGTATCTACAATGTAACTATTATTTGAGTCTTGATAACCAAGACAAAAAAAGAATCCTACCCATTCTAAATATTTAGTTATAAATAAATTATCAAATAGTGAAAGTAGATGCATAATATTCATAGCATATTAGTAAAATAACTAAATTGTACAGATTCAAGGACTCAGTGCTATAGCAATTAATTATTTTTTGTATAATCTTCCTTCTGGGCTATCAGAGACCAAGGAAAGAATATACTTACAACAGGAAAGGAAGAACCAGTTAAATTCTGAGCAATCTGCTTACCTCTACATAACTCTTTACAAATGGGTCCCATACTCCAGGGATTTTAATGATCTCGTGAAGATTTACTGATGCCTGTCGGAAATAGCTGTGCATATCCTGGGTTGCTGCACTGGTGGCAAAACCGTCCATATCTGCCCAAAGATTGAACTTTCAAAGTTATTTAGTCACTCAGAAGCAAGAACTATCTGGGACATATCACCATCCCATAAACCAAAAAAAGGGAAACAAGGGTCTCCTAGTACCAGAAACCAATTTAGCTAGTGCCAGTGTTGACTTGCCAACGGAAGGTGGAAAAAAATCCAGCTGACTAAGAAGTGATATGAAAAATGCAAAAGAGATATAGCTGTCCTTTGACTAGGATAGAGTCAACAATCGAATAACAAATTTAACCACCATTTGTCAATTCCTATGCCGGCGGCGAAGGATGACAAAGAGGTAAGACACTAAGCTAAAGGAGTTTTCAATCCAGCAGGGGAGATATGAAAATATGTAATTAAAATACAAAACAGACTACAGTGAGGGACTAAGCACAAAAGGCTAGTCCAGGTTTGAGGAAGGGGGAGAACTAGAGGAGGCTCAGAGAAGAAATGATACTTGAACTAGGTCTTGAAAAACAAGATTTCAGTAGGCAGATATGGGAAGCATGGGCAAGCAGGAGAAAGGAGAAGATAGGGTGGAGATTCCAGGCGTGGGGGGTAGTATGAACAAGTAGGGCCATACACGGTGAGTAGCTTAGGCTTTGCCGAAGCACAGAACGTACTGTAGAAAATACGATGAGCCACGACTACAAAGATAAGCTGGCATCGTCTAATGAAGGGCTTTAAATGCTAGACTAAGAAGTTTGGATTTTAGCAGGCAATAAGGAACACTTGGAAAGTTATAAGGAGTGACAAGACCAGAGGTGTGCAGAAAGAAGTTTAATCTGTGAGCAGCATGAAGATGAGTGGCATGGTGCAGTAACTGGGATTCCATGCAGCCAGATACCCCAGAGTCTGGCTGAATCAAGGCCACAGAAGCCAGGAACAATTACCAGATGATACTTACATGGTCAACTATTCTATTTTTTTGCTAATTATACAAAACTTTCTGACCACCCTTTCTAAGACAGTCATTTGAAGCTAAATAAAATATGAAAAGCTATATACACATTTTGCTAACTTTTGACTTCTCTTTGCTAAAGAACAGAGCTATCAGCTGTCAGAGAAAGGCTAGCAGAATCTATGGTAGGCAAGGGGTTAGTGTTGAGTACCAAATTCTCCAGCTGTCAAATATTTACTTGATCTTTTATACAGAAAAGGGTAAAAAGAAAGGGAAATATTGACTTGAAATTTGAGCCTAATCATTTACACATCACTGAGTGTTTCCTGGGCATCAAATGCTTTGTGGGCAGAACATTTTACTAGAGTCCCTGTTTTTGAAAAATTTATATAGACTAACTGGGGAACTGAATATGCACATATGCAACATCCTAACAAAGCAAGGCAACAGCCCAACGCCTAATTCATTTAATATTAACTGCATGTGGAGAGGACATGAAGTAAGGGAATCAGTGTGGGGGTTATGTGATCAATGAGGGAAGGCTATCTGAATGTAAGCCTCTAAATTCAAACATTTATTAAGGGACTACTCTGCTAAATACTGAGGGAGATAAAACATTTAGAAAGGATATAAGCCCTACCCTTATGGAGCTAAGTCTTTTAGGGAGACATGACACAAACACAAATAATTAGGGCAGTAAAAACAATTACTCACATTTACATAGTACTTCAAAAATTACAAAATACTTTTCTAATACCCTGTGAAGTAGATAGAGAAAATATCATCCTTGTTTTATAGATGATTTAACTGAGGATTAGCAAAGTGACTCCCCCAAACTTACATGGTTAGTAAAATAGATTTGGGAAACTAAAGGCCATTTACAACAGGTCATCCTGTGGATCTCTGAAAACAGAATTTCAATAGCGTGGTGGGGACAGAAGGTAGACTAAAAGTCATGGAGAACAGAGTTAGTGGTGAGGAAATAAAAGCCTCTTACATCAATGACTTTTCTCAAGAAGTTTAATCATGAAGGAAAGAGATGGGATAACAGATGGATATGGTGGAAAACTTTTTTTTATAGAACTAACAAAACCCAATCAAATTGGAAGCATTCACAGTGATCCTAAGATTGAAGATGCATAAAAGAGGATAAAGTTAGTAAGAGACAGGACCCAAAGTAAGGGGCACAGGCAGAGACAATAAATAGCCTGAGTGAGAAGCAGAGAGAGACTTTTCCTCTGAAGCAAAAAATTAACCACAAAGATTTAATAAGCAACTACTATGTGCAAAGCACTGTGTTAGATCCTGGAGTTACAAAGACAAAATGGAACGGTCTCTGCTGTAAGAAAGGAAGGAAGGAGATGTGAAGAGGGGAAAATTTTAATTTTCAAAAGATGTGGGGGTTTTAGTGGAATACAAGCTTAATGAGTTAATAGTGTGACATAGCTTCCAGGAACAGGGAGGTGACAATCCTGAGGTACTATGCTTTCATCGGATCACAGGTGAAGTGCTGTGTTCAGTTTAGGTGCCATCATTCAGGAAAAACATTAATAAGCTGAAAAGTATCTAGGAGGTAAACAGGATAGTGAAAGTTCTTGAGGATAAACAAAATGATCACTTGAAAAAACTGGGGAGTATTTGGCCTGAAGAAGAGTTGGAAGGGTTTGAGGCTAGGGGAAACATGTTCTCTTCCAAGTATATGAAGGTCTGTCATGTGGAAGAGAGATCAGATATATCTCTTTGGTCTCAGAGGGCAGAACTAAGAGAAATGAGTAGAAGATGCAAAGAGACAAATTTAGGTTTGATATAAGGAAAAACTTCCTAAAAGTAAGAGCTATCTGAAAGTGCAACAGGACACCTCAAGAAATACCAAATCTCTATTCAATGGTGGAAAGGGTCTTCAAGCAAAGGATAAACATTTATTTATCAAATATATTGTATAGGGGATTCTTTTCCAGGTGTAAGTTGTGCTAGATGGCCACTGAAATGCCTTCCAACTATGAAATTTTGGGATTTTGAGTCAGGAGTTGAAGGAGTTCCTGTCAGATGGCTACGATCTGCCCAGTAAGAAGTTAAGCCATTTGCTCTGTGTGTAAGAGGTATGCTTGGGAGTTAGAGAACAAAAGAAAAAAGTTGAAAGGAAAAAAGAGATAGGAAATCAATATGAATTGAATGGAAGGACTTCCAAATAGCAATGAGGACTCAGCTGTGATTATGCACCATAAATTTACAGTAAGTGAAATCAACTGGATTTCATGACTTTCTTTAATGACACTTAGCAACCTAGAACCAGTAGACAAATCAGATGGTGGGAACTATTCAGTGGCTGAAGATTAGCAGATCAGGAATAGCAGGAGGCTTTGAAGAAAATGATTGTCATGAGGACTGACTGATAGGCAACAGTGGATTCAAAACTAAAATCAAAATAATTTCAAAGAATATAAACTTAGAAGTTTAAGGGCATGACAGTCAGTAATAGGGGAGTTGGGAAGTTGAGATATGTTTCACATGCCAGCAGTTGTAAGAAAATGGGTACATTCACACTTAAAATTAAAATAGAAATGTTGGTTCAAGAGCATGGCTATTGATTCACATGATCCACAGGAGAATCGGTTGGGTTTGAATCTACCTGGTACTATTATTTACATGGATTAGTCTTACAAAATGAGTAAAACGGACTCCATTACAAATGTGCACAAAAGACAATCCACATCCACAAGTCACTACTAAGTAAATGACAAACCAACTACTAATTGCAGTTGAATTTTTTAAATAGCAATGACCAAAAAATAACTGACCATTTTATGGATGCCCATGAAGCTTCCTGTCTAGAAGGGTTTTGAGACACTAAAAACTGTACCAAAGGAAATTAAATTTCCTTTGCTGGAGGTTTTCCTTCTCGGGAATAAACAAATGAAGTCTAGAGATGAACAATATAATTTCACAACATTCCTTCCACTCCTAGATATCATAAGGTAAAGCCTGAAATTCACTCACCAAATTTGGACAGTTCAGTCCTCTTTTTAGACCATGTATAATAATCCAAAAGTCCTCTGTAGGCCTGGATAAGTTTAATTATTTTTTCTTGGGAAGCAGACATTTCACCGTATCTCCAGCTCTCTGCCTGGTTTAGGTTCCTGTAAGCCTCCTCAACCATTCCCTTATGCAGAAGGTATAATGCATGTTGTAGGGAGATCTGCAACAGATAAAAACAACCTGGGTCAGGGAGTTCCGAATAGGAGAGGCAGGAGAAGAACAGTGGCCTCAGAGTCAGGAATACATGGATACAAGTCCTCCATCTGACACATACTGACTGTACGACCCCAGCAAGTCATCTAATTTTTCAGTTCCTCTGAGGTAACACTCAATTCCAGAATTTGCTTTGATGCAGGAATCTCTTCCCTGGGAATTCCCTACATCAAGGAAATCACAAGACTGGACCAAAATGAGACAGAGAACTATAGGAATATATAAAAGAGATTGAGACATGAGGTCCCTGATGTCAAGAAACTTAAATCTAGTCAGAAGACAAGATTGATGTTCATGAATCAACGAAAGAACAATACGAGATATATAAATTCACTACTTCAAGGATCTAGAATCTTTTTTGATATACGCATGCCCCTTCAGTGACATAGACGGTAACCCTTTGTAATTTAGTAAATGATCTTTTAGTGCTGCTGGGGCAGAAAAATTAATCACCCTGCAGTCATCCTGGTGATGAACCTCTCCAAAAATAGCTAGGCTGGTACATAGCTACACAAGGAGCTAGCTACTAAGCCCATACTTGAAGCTTTCTAGCCTGGCAGACACTGTCAGAGGTTGCATTCTGCTGTTTCAGGCTTCACAAACCCAGGTTGTCTCCACACTGGAGTGAGGAGCCAGAGGAAGTCTTCACTGAAGGAAGGTACCAAGAGTAAGTGCTAAAGACAGAGCTCAGTGTAAAGGCAAAACCTCTGATGTATGACGAACATTTGAGGAGATAAAGAGGAGAAGAGAAAGCATTCCAGGAAGGAGGAAGAGCATACATAACTCAATCATGATGAAGTACACTCCAAAGAAATAAAAGAAAGCAGGAAAGGACTCAAGTATAGAAAAAAATTCACAGCATCACTTTTTATTGTAGCAAAAAACTAGAAATGAAGGGGTGCCCAACAGTCGGGGAATGGCTCAATAAATTATGGTATATGAATGGGATAGAATATTATTAATATTATTGAGAGCAACAAAAGGAACAGACTCCGAGAAACTTGGGAAGACATGAATGAGCTGATACAGAGTGAAATGAACAGAACTAAGACAATAATTTAAATAATGACTACGATGTAAAGAAAACAAACTCTTAAAGACTTAGGAAGTCTGATCAATGCAGGGAACCACAATGACCAGAGAACTCAGATGATAAGACGTGCTTCCCAGATCTGGACAGAGAGGTGATAGACTAGAGGTACAGAATGAAACATACATTTTCAGATATAGCCAATGTGTAAATTTCTTTTGCTTGATTATGCTTGTTACAAAAGGGCTCAAATGATATGCAAACATTTTAGAATTTAGTTCATTATCACATAACTACAACTATAGAACACACTCTCTTTGAGATACTTCTCTGAAAAACTGGAAGAAATTCAAACAAAGGAGACTTAGTATTTTCCTTTTGAAAACACTCAAGGGCTAGAAAAAGCCAGAGAATATGAAAGTATAGTGTAGAGAACTAAAGAAACAATGAGGTGGGTAGATGTTATGTAGCCAATCTTCATGAAACACTCCCTTATTCATTTAGGGGTATTATTGTCCTTTCCTATCCCCTCTCATCAATTTTTCATCATCACTGGGATATCAATTCCCCACTGCCCAATTATCAGCATGGTGCAGTGGGTAGAGTACTGTACTTGAAAGTTAGAAAGACCTGGGTTCAAATCCTGTTTATCACACTTACTAGCTGTGGGACCTTGGCCAAGTCATTTAACCTCTGCTCTGTGAGCCTCAGTTTCCTCATCTGTAAAATGAGGGGGTATACTAGATGACTTCTAAGCTCCCTTCTAGCTCTAAACCTATGATCCTACAAAGCAGGCCCTTCCTTACCTTTAAATAATTTTGGACACCAATATTTTTCATCCGGTCAGCAAAGGCATTGAAGGTTTCAACGTTGCTCTTAGGATGATGATATAAAATTGCACTGCCCAGTTTCCAAATGTTCTGTCAAGTTAAAAGAATAAGAAAAAAAATAAGAATCAAAAGGTTAAATTCCTTCCAGTTTTTATTTCTACCTGAAAAAAACTATTATTAAACCCCACTATTTACTTAATAAAAACTTCACAAAGCACTAAACTATCAAAAAGCTGGGATTAGTAATTTCATCTAAAGTAGATGGGGCATGTGGAAAATAAAAAGTAAACTATATTTTAATTTGGGAAGTTATCAGCACAAGGTATAAGACAAAAAAAAATCTCTTCACTTAGTTAAACCTGATTTTATACTATTTATTCCCTTGCCGCCAACATTTAGGAATAAGAGTTCTCCCTTCTGGTGGGCTTTCTTCTTTTGCTTTTTTTTTTCCCTTTTCTTTCTCTGATTTAATATAACTATATAATGTTCACTTCAAGGAAGATTTAATTGAAATTTTTATTTAAATCACCAATTGGGAAACAACATAGACTTGAGATCTACTCTGAGCTCCTTCCCAGGGCATGAATCTTCCCTATAACATTTCTGACAAGTGGTTGTCTCACCTCTGTTTGCTCACTGGGAACTCAGCACATTATGACAGACCATTTTATTTTTTGAGAGTTCTAATTAGGAAGATTTTTTCTTACATTAAGCTAAAATTTGCTTAAATTTAAAATCCATCTTACTATAAATTTAAATTCATTATCATCTGTTTTGCCTCTGCACCCTAAGGACCGGGACTTTTCCATCCAACTCACAGCTGAAACCTCCTTTATGTGCTGTTTTCTCCCCATTAGAATGTTAGCTCCATGAGAACATGGATTGTCCTGATTTTCAATTTGTATTCCCTGCACTTCTCAAAGTGCTCTGAAAATAGTAAACACTTAATAAATGTTTATTATTTCCTCTCTCTCTCAAAAAATCCAATCTAATTCAATCCAACAAGCATTTTAAAAACACCTATTGTCTACAAGGAACTATCCTGGTGCCGGGGACGCAAAGACGAAATGAAAAACAATCCCCGTCCTCAAGGAGCTCACATTCTAATGCAGGGATAGAATATGTAAATGGATAAGTGTATACATGATAGATAGTATGAGGAAAGAGGGAGCACTGACACCTCTTGGGATAAGGAAAGGTTTCCCAAAAGAAATGGCACATTAGCTGAACCTTAAAGGAAGGTAGGATTCTAAGAGGCAGAGGTGAGGAGAAGGTGCCTCCCAGCCATAGATGACAGCTTGGCGCACAGACAGGAAATAGAATGTCTTACCCAGGGGACACTTGGACACTGGTTTGGATGAAACATAAAGTGCAATAATGTGCAATGATAAACCTAGAAAAGCAAGCTGCAGCCAAATCATAGGGGCTTTAAATGTCACATGGAAGAGTTTTTGTTTTTTGTTCTAGATGAAATAGGGAGCCAGTTAAGTTTCCAGAGATGGGGAATGATTTCACAGTCACACTTGTACTTTAGGAAGATAATTTTGGCAGTTATTTGGAGAATGGACTGGAGAAAAAGAGGTTGGAAGCCAATGAGGAGAATGTTGCAATGAGCCAGGTAAGAGGAGATGAGGGTCTGAATCAAGGCTGGGGCTACCTGGGTAGAGAAAAAGATTTGAGAGATGCTGTGGAAGCAGAATCGCCAGGATGCGACAACTGACTGGATCAAGGCAGAGGCAGAAGAAAGAGTCGAGAACCATCCCACCACGTCTGCCATGCGTCTTTTTACTCGACATAGTCTAAATGTCCATTCTTCATAATTCATAAACTAACATTTATTTCACTAGAAAAAGGTAGAACCACAGAATCAAAGAATTTCAGAACTAAACCTTGGAGGTTTTCTAGCCCAAATACTCTTTTTGAGAGAAAGAAATTGCAGCTTGGTGAGGTGAAGTGATTTGATCAAAGTGACACAGATTCATTTTGCAAGTAAACAAATAACTGATTATTTTATTAACTACAGCCAAAGGAAGCAGAAACCTAGAAAATCAAATGAAGAGTAGTCATGATTATCTGAAAATTTTAAAATTGTGCATTCAAACTACCTTATCACTTTTTAAACTCCATTTCATTAGAAACACAGAAAACATGGAGGGAAATAGATCTTCCCCTCACCCATGCACACAACCTTCAGCTGAGGCTGCTTCTACTTAAAATACTCTTAAAAATGTAACAAAGACATCTTGATTAAAAAAGTCTTGAGTCCTGAGAACATGACTCATCAATGAAGGCAAGGATGAAGAACTCTTCAGGCTCTCTCCCATTCCCATCATTAGTTCACTTGCCTGCAGGGCCACCTGCCGTTTCTGGCTGTTAAAGTCCTCCAGGGCCTGGAAATAATGCTGCAGGAACTCTGAGGCTCGCTGCCACTGGTGCTTCAGCAGGGCTTCTTGTATGAAATTTAAACAAATACTCGTCGTCTGAGCAAAATTTATCCCCTTATGGCCATGACTCACTGTAAAAAATAAAATTAAGCAGATAGTCACCACAGAGCACAAGGAATAACTACATTTGCCAGCATAGCTATTCCCTGCATAAGGTTGCCCAGACCAACATTATTTCATAATAACATCATTAATACTTTAAAAAAAGAACACCTCTCTTAGGTATGGAAACACTGGTATAACATAATTCAGTCAGTTACCCATCTATAACGTTGTGGTTTTGTGGCACAACCACAGAACCAAAGAAAGTTAGACCTGGAATGATCTTGTCCTACCCTCCCCCATCCCATTTTACAGATGAGGAAACTGAGCTTCACAGAAGTGAAGTGACTTGTACAAAATCACACTGTTAATCCCAGGGGTAGGCCTGGAATCAGCTCTCTTGACTTCCTGTAAGGCCCTAGTCAGGGCTTTGGGCTTTGTGCTTTGGCAGACAATAAGATACTTGCTTCAATTGCTTCAACTAACGTCATTAGGAAGGGCATGCCTGTATAGAATGTTAATTTACCTCGAGTCCTTGTCAAAGTTGGTGACTGAGGCCTGCTTTGCAGTCACAAAATCTCAGAATGGGAAAGAACCTCAGGGGTCATCTAGTTAAACCCAATCCTGAAAACATCCTCAGCAACTGGTTATCCAGCTTTCTGCCAGAAGCCCTCCAAAGAGAAGTAATTTACTATATCCTAAGGCATGGTGGGCACATTAAACTAAACCTAATAAGATGAAACTGAAGAGGCATAAACATAAAGTCTTACATTTGAGTTTTTAAAAATCTATTTCACAAGTACAGGATGGGAAGGTATAATTGGTTAGTAGTTTGTCCTAAAAACATCTGGGGATTTTAACGGACTCTAAGGTCAAAATGAATTAGCAGAATGATGTGACAGCCAGAGATTTAACTTTTAGAACTACTAATAAAATAATTACAAATCTTAATTAGAAAAATTAATTGTCCTTCTGCACTGTGCCTGGGTCAGATGACATCTGGAACATTATGCTTAATTTTGGTCACCATGGTTTTAAAAAGACATTGACAAGCTGGAGAGCATCCAGAGGGCAAACAGAATCCATACCCTATAAAAAGTGATTGAAACTGGGGGTGTTTAGCCTGGAGAAGAGAAGAGGGGGGTAAAAGGTGCCAAGAGGCAAGTCTAGGGTTATTGTCGAAAGAAGCATCCTACCAGTTGTGGAATGTGATGCCTTGGAAGGGAGGGGCTTTCACTTCATTAGATGTGTTTGGGCAGAGACTGGAAATCCCTTTCTCAAGCATGTTCTACTCTGGGGATTCCTTTTTAGGTATGGGTTGAACTAGATGAATGCTGAGGTCCCTTCCAACTCAAAAACTCTGTGATTCTGTAGCTGAATTGTTTATACTCTTTGACCCTACAATTCTTTACTATAGGCATGTGCCCCAAAGAGTTAGAGATATCAATAAAAGTCCAATATATACCGATATATTTTACAAATATATTGCAAATAGTGCTTTCTGTGATTGCAAAAAACTAGAAACAAAATAGATTCCCATTGACTGGGGAATAACTGAACAAACTGTGATAAATGAATGTAACACAGAGAATATTACTGCATCATAAATGACAAAGGTAAGGAATTCAGAGAAACATAGACTTACATGAATTGATGCATACTTTTAAAAATTGAACTAGAATAATATAAACAATGACAATAACATAAATAAAAACACTAAAAAGTGTTTGAATTAAGATTAATTGCAATAACTAATGTTGACCATAGAGAACAGATGACAAAACACATTTCCCTGTTCTCAGAAGCATATGCTGTTTGGCTGGTCTGTTTTGTTTACCTGTTTTTCACTGTTATAAGGGAGGGTTCAAAAGTAAAGATGGAGTATCAGGAAATGACCATGATGTAAAACAAGAGGTATCTAGTTAAAAACAAAGACTACTGGGGGAACCACCTTTTTCAAAAGATACATCAACACAAGATTCATCCTTGTTTTACTACTTTACCTATTGAATTTCTACAGGAAAGATTTTATCAAATGTTTTGATGAAACTAAGACATACTAAGACATGCTACAGAATTACCGACCAATTCTATCAAGAAAATAAGATTACTTCCCCAATTGGTAAATGGTCAAAGGATATGAACAGGCAGTTCCCAGATGAAGAAATTAAAGCCATCTATAGTCACATGAAAAAATGCTCTAAATCACTATTGATTAGAGAAATGCAAATCAAAATAACTCTGAGGCACCACATCACACCTATCAGATTGGCCAAGATGACAAAACAAGAAAATGATAAATGTTGGAGAAGATGTGGGAAAATTGGAATACTAATGCATTGCTGGTGGAGTTGTGAAATGATCCAACCATTTTGGAGAGCAATTTGGAACTATGCCCAAAGGGCTATAAAAATGTGCATACCCTTTGACCCAGCAATAGCACTTCTAGGGATATATCCCAAAGAGATCATACAAATGGGAAAAGGACCCATATGTACAAAAGTATTCACAGCAGCTCTTTTTGTGGTGGCAAAGAATTGGAAATTGAGAGGATGCCCATCAATTGGGGAATGGCTGAACAACTTGTGGCATATGAATGTAATGGAATACTATTGTGCTATAAGAAATGATGAACAGGCAGACTTCAGAAAAACCTGGAAAGACTTGTATGGTCTGATGCTGAGTGAAGTGAGCAGAACCAAGAGAATGTTGTACACAATAAGAGCCACGTTATGCGAAGACTAATATAGATAAACTTAACCCTTCCCAGCAATACAAGGATCTAAGACATCTCCAAAGGCCTTGTGATGGAAAATGCTATCCACATCCAAAGAAAGAACTATGGAATTTGAATGCAGATTGAAGCATACTATTTGCTATTTTTTTTTCTCTTCTGTTGAGTTTTGTTTCCTCTTTCTGGTGGTTCATCTTATTGGTTCTAATTTTTACTTACAACATCACTAATCTGAAAATATGTTTAATAAGAATGTATATATATACATATAGCCTATATCAGATTGGGCGCCATCTTGGGGAGGGTGGCAGGGAGGAAGGGGGAGAAAAATTTTAAACTCAAAAGCATATGGAAGTGATCGTTGATAAATCAAAATAAATTAATAAAAAAAATAAAATTAAAAAAAATTAAAAAATAAAATAAGATTACAACCGGCATGACCTGTTCTAAGTGAACCCATGCTATATGCTAACAATGACCATTTATTTCCTTTCTAAGTGTTGACAAATCATAAATTTATGGTTCCTCTCTAAAATGCCTCTGGGTCAGTGTGGATACATATCAGATATATCCATCAGTCTGCTGTTTGTAGAATCCATCTTTTTGCCATTGTTGAAAACTGGGACATTTGCAGATTTCCAGTCTTCTAGGACCTCTTCCATCATCCATGAATCTACAAAGATTACTGATAACACACCGCTGATCTCATTGGCATTTTCTTCAGTACCACAGAATGTTATTTGTCTGGACCAGGTAACAAGCTCATTTATTGCAGTCAGGCATCCTTATAATCTCCACAACTATCTTTGGCTCCAATTCCCTCTTAATCACATTTCTCCTACCCTTTCCAGTCTGAAGATCATTCTCCTTGAAGGAAAAGATAGAAGCAAAATAGTTGGGTCTTTCTGCCATCTCTCTCATTTTTTACCATTAACACCATCCGTCCCAAGAAGTAAGCCTATAACCTGCCTTGTTCAGCTTGCCCAACACATAACCTTGAAAGGTCTTCATTACTGCGCTTAAAACATTTTGGGAGCATCAGCTTTATCTGAACTCTGACATTCCTGGCATTATTCTAAAAAAAAAATCTGTGTCACCCTCTTGTATTTTAACTCAGTTATTTACCTTCCTTGAATCTTTCAGAGATGTCCTTTTAAATTCTGAGCTCAGCACCCTATACATTTAAATATGACTTTTTAGATGTGTCTTCCTTTTCTTACACATTAGAATCTCTAAAGATTCTGGAGATTTTATTGTCAGAATTTAATTTTGGGGTAACAATACATAGGGGACTTCTACACTCATCTAATCTAACCTCTAATCCAAAAAACAACACTACTAAGACCTGACAAGTAATCATCTGTCTCCCAATGCTTCCCATTTCCCTTAGGCCATTTTTATTTTTAGAATTATAGACAATGAGATTACATCTATTATTCTCTAGATTTTTGAAATCTACTTCCCTAACGTCTAGAGCACATATCTAACTAGGTTTGGTATTCTCTTCCTTAGCTATCATAAACCCTGAGATGCATCACTTTTTTCCTGTGTCACTTCCACATTTGCAATCTATTCCTCCTGGTTGGTCAGAATTAGGTCCAAAATATCTATTCTCTTTATTGTTTCCCCTACTTTTTCAAGAGAATAGGAAATTTAACAGATTTCCTGCTTTTAGTGGTTTTTCTAGTAGCTATTCAGAGAAGTGAAATCTCCCACCACCACTATATCTTTCTTCCTTGTAGCTTTCATTACCTATATCAGTTAAGTGTTATCTAGATTCTCCACCTGGTCAGGTGATGTGTAATGCTATAATGATGTCACTTGAGCTATATCACTGTTTCTTCTACCAGGTAGTTTTTTGGACAAATTATACCATTTAGGATGTCTAACCTTAGTGTATTTCTTTATTTCTCAGTCTTTCTCACCTCATGTAGCCAATCAGTTGCTGATTCTATATCCACAACACCTACCACATCTGACCCCTTCTCAGTAGACTCAAACAGCTACCACCTTGATTCAGGTATTCATCACCTCTTTCCTGCACTACTGAAAGAGTTTTATACTTGATTTCCCATATCAAGTCGCTATTTCGTCAATCCCACCTGCACATACCAGCCTAAATGACTGTTCTTAAGCACAGATCTCTCTCCTAAACTCCAATGGCTCCCTATTGTCTCTAGGATAGGAGTTATTTATGCTTTATGTGTTGGAACACTCTGGCAGTCTGGTGAAATTTAAGAATCCTTCCTCAAAATGTTTTTAAATGCACAAAATAAAATACATATGTTTACAAAAGAAACTATATTGAAATAGTAATCAAAATATTTTTTTAAAAAATTCACAGACCCCAGATTAGGCACCTTTGCTCTACAATAAAATATAAAATCTTTTGTTTGGCTTTTAAAGACTTACATGAAATGTTGCCAACTCTTTTCATTTGGTCAATAGGCTGAGAACTATGTGTAGAACATAAAGAATAACTTCAAGTTTAGTAGTTACTCATAAGCACTTTAGACATTTAATAATTTGTCCTTTGCTATCTTCTCTTAATAGAGTTGGCCAAATGGATGGCCTGACAATATTTCTCAAGAGAACTTTGAATTTATAAACAAAGTGAAGTCATGTGAGTCTGTGTGTAATTGGGAGGATTGACTTGAATACCAGTCACAAGACTAATTCTTTCTGAAATTAATGTATAAAAATGTGACAAATTCAGCTTTTGCTGTGGACTATTATTCTGCCTTGTGGAAAAAGCACTACTGCAATTGCTTTAATAGACTATAAGCCACAGTTAAGAGCATTTTCAATTTGCAATTATGGATACATAATTTTCAGAGCCTTCAGAGAGCAAAACCAAAGGATGGAAGTTTTTGGAAAAGTTTTCTTCCAAGAACTTCTGTGAGTATACATAATTCAACAGGTATATTTAGCGTATAACACAACAATTCTATTTCAAACATCTTAAGAATAGTAATTTCAGTTTGTGTTGCTTACATGCAAATGAGACATAACACATATAGCCATGTGCTAGAATAACAGAATGGATTATACTAAAATGTTATTTTTAATATTATTTTAGACCATTTAAAATAACTAGACAGTATAAAATACTTGAGAGTATACCTGCCAAAACAGACACAGAACTATATGTGAACATAAACATAAAACACATTTTTATATAAAGTCAGATCTAAATAATTGATGTAATATTTATTGTTCATGGGTAGGTAAAGCCAATATAATTTTTAAAAAGATAATCTTACCTAATTAATCTATTTATTCAATGCCATCTCAATTAAATTACTAGAAACTATCTTACTGAGTTAGACAAAAATAGTAACAAAGTTCATTTGGAAGAACAAAAGGTCAGGAACTACAAAGAAAGCAGGGAAAAAAACATAAAGGAAGCAAATTCAGCAGTTATCAGCCCTTAAACTATATTATAAGGTGAGAGCATTGCTGAAGTGTAAAACATCTAATTTCAATTATTTTAAATTAAAATTTTCTTGTATAAATAAAACCTACATGGCTAAGAATAGAAGGAATGCAGAAAATTGAGGAAAAAACTTTCATAGACAATCTCTCAGATAGGATGTGATTGGGTTGGAATATTACTGTGACATAGGAAATGATGAGCTGGTTGATTTAGAAAAAAATAGAAAGACGTGTATTTATGAAGAAAGATGCTATCCACCTTCAGAGAAACAGATGACAAGTGGAAAAAGCATAGTACGGTCTTACATGTATATGAACATATATCACATATACATATATGTTTATATATATGTATATTTATCCACACTTAATTGGAACCTTCTTTAGGGTGGAGAAGGGGGAGGGGGAAATAGAGTAAAAAGTGAACAGCAGAGAACAAAAGAAAACCTACAAGGAAGCAAAGAAAAGCTGGACAGCTTTGAAAACAATGTATAGTATTTATTATATAGGTTTTCTTGAAATGGAAAATTATTATTTTATATTGAATCCTCTCTTATGTTCTGCTGTGTACATGGCAATGTTTTTTTTTTCCCTTTTCTTGTTTCGTATTTAAGTTTTAAATAAATAAGAAAATTTAGGGGCACCTAGGTGGTGCAGTGGATAGAGCTCCAACCTTGGAGTCAGGAGGACCTGAGTTCAAATCTGGCCTCAGACATATGATACTCACTAGCTGTGTGACCCTAAGCAAGTCACTTAAACCCAATTGCCTTGCAAAAAAAAAGAAAAAAAGGAAATTTACCAAAAAAAGTTATTTTTTTCACCCCTTGTTCTCTAATAGGCACCATTTCCTTAAAAAAAAAATCATCTCTAAATGGATAGCACTAAATTATATACTAAAATCTAGCATGACATATAAATAAAACAAGTTAAAATATGTTGGCAAAGGTGGTCTGATTTTTAAGAAGATCCCAAAGAACCACTGAATCTTAGAGGGGAAGAGACCTCGAAAAGTCATCTGGCTGGTTGCTTTGCAGAAGCTGACATCAGTAGTCCTTGGCATTTGTTTTGTCTGCCTCACCACATCTGCTGCTCTGTTCATTCCTAGCCCAGACATCTGTGGCCATACTCAACCTCTTAGTGTTCTACAACATCACCACTAATAAAGAGCCCCTGGACAAGTTACTTTTGAGCTCTCCGCAGACAAGCTTCCAAAGACAGTAGAAAATTTATACGCTCTGAGCACAGAGAGAAGGGATTTGGTTATAAGACATTCTGCTTTCAAAGAATTATTCCTAGGTTCATGTGCCAAGGCGGCGACTTCACCTGCCATAATGACACTGGTGGCAAGTCCATCTCTGATAAGAACTTCAACATTGGTCCTGGCATCTTGTCCTGGCAAATGCTGGGCACAACACAAATGGCTCCCAGTTTTTCATCTGTACTGCTAAGACTGAATGGCTGGGTGGCAAGCACGTAGTCTTTGGCTAAGTGAAAGAATACAAGAACATCACGGAAGCCATGGAGTACTTCATTTCCTGGGATGGCAATATCAGCAAGATGATCACCACTGACTGTGGACAACTCTCATAAGTTATTTGGGTTTTTTTGCTTTTTTCTTAACCACCAAACCATTCCTCTGTAGCCGGGAAGAGCCCCCCTAAACTCCTACTGCTCTTATACCCTATAATCCTTGTGCTCTCCTCTGCTACAGTTCTCTTTGGATTCCTTCCACAAATCTGGCTAGGCAACAGAGTTAAGTTCATGATTATGAAATAAAAACTCAACCACAAAAAAGTCATTTAGTTTAATCCCCTCGTTTTATAGATGAAGAAGCCAAGAAGCAAAGAAATAAACTTATCTACTCAAGTTCACACTGACAGTATTTGGCAGAGAAAGGTCTAGAATCTAAGTGTTGCCTGACTCCCAATCCGATTCACTTTCCAGAATATATAAGCCAGAGTTAAGAATATATACTATACAGTTATCCTTTCTAGCTTACAACTTTCCCCATTGTGGTTTCGATACATCACGGATCAGCATAAAAAATTAAATGGGAATTTTGGGGGAGTTCTGCAGAACAAACAGACAAAACTCAAAGGCCAGAAGATGACACAGAGCCTATGACTAAATATTTAACCCAAATTTTATAATAAAGTACTGTAAACACCCCATAAAAGAAAAAAATCAGACTTCTTCTCTGGTATGAAGAGAGGGCCAAAAGATTTTATGCAGATTTTCCAGATCACGGGTGCCACACCCCTCGCCCCCCACCTCTCAATGTGAGATAACTGCATATAGTATATAGCATATATATTATACCCTATACTACGGAAGCATACTTCCCTAGAGCCCTAAGAGGAGATTAGGCCCACTTCAAGTGAAACAGTAAGATTTATAAAGAAATCCTCATGACATGGCAAACTCTTATTTATCTGGAATCCAAACAATCAGGAAGCTTAAATTCCTATATTTGTTTTTCATACTCTGTATATTGTTCCCATAGGTCAGCTCCACTTACCTGTGTTCTGGAGGTGCTGTGAGAGCCAAGGTAAATGTATTTCTGGACCACAGCCTATTGATGCTTCTACTTGATCATCATCTTCCACAGACCTCATCAATTCCTCACTGAAAGCATCCATAGCTACTCCAAATGAAGAAGAATATTTACAAACTCTGCACATAAATTTATAGTTCTTCTATATCATATTAAAAAAAGCATTTTTAAAAAAAACTAATAAATATAGCATGCACTTCAATGTGCCTGGAATTTCCTTTAGTTTCAAACAAAATTGAGTTGTCAGCAGTAGTGGAAATGAACCAGAAGGTAATAACATCCATATAAATCAATTCAAAACAAATTTATTAAGCAAGTATAGTATGCAAGCACCTGGGTGGCACAGCGTATACAGTGCTGGGCCTAGAGTCTGGAAGACTTCTCTTCCTGAGTTCAAATCTGGCCTCGGACACTTACTAGCCATGTGACTCTGGGCAAGTCACTTAACCCTGTTTGCCTCAGTTGGCAAAGTCTCTAAGGTTCCTTCAAGCTCCAAATCTATGATCTAATATGAGTTTTATAGGTTTAACAATGTAAATCAGTCAGGGTTTTGCTAAAGTTAACAGATGTTAACAGAGTACTGGACTTTGTGAAATTTCCTTTGATTACTAGTTGTGTGACGCTTATGCTCTCTGGGCCTCAGTTTTCTCAAAGTCTATTCAACCCCTCTCACTGTTAAATCTGTGACAAGACACTGCTGATTCTCCTGACTATTTAAACAAGCGATCAGAGTTAGGAGAAAGTGTAAAAAGACTCACCATTTTCTAATTAGTGTTTGATGTGTAGAAGAATGGTATCAATCTCAAACAGAAACAGAGGCCATTAAACTCTAAAATAATAAGGATCCCTGAAGCTGCATATTGATTTAGGAAACCACATATTAACATTATCTAGTTATGTTCTACTGTATTTTTATTTGTTTTGCTAAATATTTTCTAATTACATCTTAATCTGGCTGGGGGGTGTTTGAGACTTCTACTGTAGACAATCTACAACTAAAGATTTTGCTATATAAGAGGAGTTTGTAATTCATTGAGAATCACAGAACTAAACTAATGGGGAACAGTTCTAAACAATTTACTTGAGACAAAATAGACAAGAAATAGTCTGAGAACACCACAAAGTATTCTATAATATGATATAATGTAGGTTCATGGGATATTAGAGCTGGATGAGCCTTTAGAAATCAACTTGACTTCCTCATTTTCAAAAGCTTAATCTCTAGCACCTCAGTTTCTTTTTTTAAATGTGGTAAGTCATTTTGTCTGACAAAATGAGAAAACGCACAAAGAGCAACAGGGACTTGACCTGTCGCTTCACTGATACAGGGAACTCCTAAATGAGAAAACTCCCCCTACCCAAGGTAGGTCAGGACCACTTCTGTAACTCAGAGTTGCATATAGCACCAAGTGATTAAATGACTTGACCAGGGTCACACAGGCAGTAAGTGTCAGAGACTTGAACCAGGTCTTCTTGGCCCAAGGACAGCTCTCACTACAACTATAATTGACTCTTTAAAAGCACAGAACAAGTGGTGGCCTTGGACATCTGATACAGTGATAGAGTGATACAGTGGATAGAGCACTGGATTTAGAAGCCCGGAAAACCCGAGTTAGAATCCTGCCGCAGGGACTACTTCCAAGGTTGTTTCGAAGATTTCATGAGATAGCCTAAGTAAAGCCTTTTGCAAGCCTAATGGACCCTTAAATACTAGCTTTTAAATCCCTGCCTTGATACTTTCCCAGCTAGCTGTGTAATTTCCAGCAAAGCACATAAAAACATGCAGGACCTCAACTTCTCATGTCTCTGAGCATTTTCTCTGGCTGATTCCCAAGCCTGGACCCCTCTTCCTCCTCAGTTCTGACTACCGACCTCCCTGGCTTTCTTTAAGTCCCATCCAAAATCCCACCTTCTACTGGCAGGAAGCCTCTAGGTTCGTTATTTCCTATTTATCCTGTATATACTTTGCTTTGTATATAAACATCTGTTTGTATGTTGTCTCCTCCATTAGATTGTAAGCTCCTTGGGAGCAGGAACTGCCTTTTGCCCCTTTTTGTATCTCCAGCACTTAGCACATCCTGGGGATAATGACAGTTGCACAACCAGCCTCTCAGAGGGGTGTCATGGGAAAGGTATTTTATAAACCCCCCCGTGGATATCCATCATCATCATCATCATCATCATCACCACCACCGCAGGGCTATGCAAACCTATGGCACGGTTTTCATAAAACCACAATTACAGAGAGGTTTCGTTATTGGGATGAGACTTAATTGATGATGGCCGTGACCTCACCAGTTACCGCCCCCTCCTCAGCACAGAGTCACGAGGCTGAGGGTCCTAGGCCACCATCTCCTCCCCCTTTAACGTGGTAGCCATGGCAACCAAGCCTCGCCTCCCCGGAGGTAGGGGAAGGAAAAGGAATGGAGGAGAAAGGAAAGAGGGGAGAGGACAAGGGCTTGAGCTCCCAAGGCAACAGTGACGAGCCATTAGTAAATAATAATAATAATAACAATAATAATAAGAAGCAGGCCCAGACAGAAGGGGACGTCCGAGAAGGGGCCCAGTCACCGTCTTCAGCTCCTGAATCTATGAATTCTCATTCCAACACTTACCCCGAACTTCACTCTGGGCATGCACCACCTCCCCTTAGGACCCAGATGAATCCCCGCGGAAGCTCAGCCAGCCCGGGAGCTACAAGTGAGACCAGAAGCGAGACCCACAGGGAGCACGATCCGACTGCGCGTGCGCGCTGCCCGCGCGCTGCCCTAGAGGGCGTTTGTGTCACTTCCTCCGATCCCGCCTTTTCGCCGCCTCTCGCCTCCGCCGCTTCCGGTGTGTGGCGTCTTCGTCTTCTGTTGTGGCCGCTTGCCTTTATCTGTGGTGCTGGTCATTCCCGGAATGACCGGAATAGCTTTCCACCTCACCATGCTTTCCGATCCGGGGGATGAGGGGTTTTCCCCGTCAGAGGAGGAGGGTGGAACCCGAGTGCTGGGCAGCCGAATAACCCCTGACCTTGGAGAACTTGCTGGCCGGACTTTGCGCGCAGCTGTTGATGCCCAGAGGAAGCACGAGGCCCGAGTGTTTGAGCGATCGTGCCAGAAAAGCTGATGCCATCTCCGTCAGTCCGAGCACCCCACTTTTATTTTGACCAGAAAAAGAATAAACCGAGAGGCGAGAATCACTGTTAAGAAGTCTGAGTGTATATAGTTATGAATTTGCCCGTGTAAATATATCCGCAATGTTTGCTTTTACTTTGCCTTGAACGGTAAAAAGGAGTTCTCACCTTCCAGTGTTGGCTGGAAACTGATCGTCCCCCAGATTACAAATATGTGACCTTGAGAAGCGAGCACACTTGGGAAGGAGCCGAGCAGAGAGAAGCACTTTTTGCCTGTCTTAGGTTTCAAGCCTCCTAGGTTCAGAGGCGGGCCTGACCTGAAATAGGGTGTGCAACCCAAGGGAGACTTAGTGGTTTTTCAAATGGAGGAGAAATTAGACTATTCTACTTCGTTTCACAAAGCAGAACTAGGAATAATAGCTCAGTAACCATCTGAGAAAGGCAAATTTCACTTCAATGTGAGGAAACATTATGAATTTAGAGTGCTTATGAAATGGATGGGATGTCTCAGAAGATAAGAGTTTACCTCATTGGAGGTCTTCAAGAAGATACCCCTTATAAGGGATGTTTTAGAAATCGTAATGTATGGAAAATGCCCAGAATTTGGTAACATAAGACCTGGGTTTGAATCCTGGATCTGCTGCATACTACGTGTGTAACCTGGAGCAAGTAGTTTAATCGCAGGGCCTCATCTCTAAAATAGAGATTTGTGCTAGATGACCTCTAAGGTTCTTTTCAGCTTTAAATGTAAGATCCTAAGGGACTTTTATTCATGTGTAGGTTGGATTATATGATCTCTGAGGTCCTTTCCAACTCTGAGACTGATGGAAAGTTTCTGAAGGCAACCTTCTTGGAAAAATCAATACCCTTCAGGCCTTACTGAGAGAAGGGATCCAAGGACTCATTACCCCATTACAGTAATGTGGCTATGGAAAAATAGAGATGCAAAGATGCCTGAGCTTGGTAAGGAAACTTCACAGAACTGTAGGCAACAAATGTTTAACCTATATCAAATTGCTTGCATTCCCAATGAGGATGGGAGGGAGAGAATCTGGAACTCAAAAATTCTAAAAAACAAAATTGTTTTTATATGTAATTGAGGAAAATATTAAAAAAAAAAGAGCTGCAGGCATCACCTGAGGATTTGACTGATGAAACCTGAAATAATTCATTTATAAAATTAAGAATTTAATTCAACACTTATTGAATGGCTGCTATGTGAAAAGTGCTTTGCTAAGCCACTGATATAAAAACAAAGTACAGTCACATGGTCATAGAATTTTGACTAAAAAGGGCTTCTAGAGCTCATCTAGTCCCAACTAGACAATTTTAAGCGTAAGAACTTGAGGGCTTAGGAGTAAAGTGACTTGCTTAAGGTGACTATTTTGTGATTTAGAGGTACAATGAAGCTTTGAAAGGTTGAAAGATTTATCCAAAGTCAACACTGGTAATTGGTGAGGGTGGAAAGTCCACCCTTAACTTCCAGCTTAGAGTCCAATCTTGGAAGATGAGGCGAGCCACCTCCATATTGTTTAACCCCTTGAATTTTTCATTCCATCTCTCTCATCTCTGAGAACTTGATCCATTATGGATCATTCTCTCACCTTCAGTTTTCCTTTGTTTACTTACAGGCTATCTGTAAACATGCTTAAGTCTCCCTTCTGCTAAAATTTTTTTTTCATTGATCCTGTTATCCCTTCAAACTATGTCCTTTATCTCTCTTCCCTTTCAATGTTCAACTTCTGGACCCCTGCAGTCTAACTTCCGTCTGTACCACTCAGTTTAAACTGCTGTCTCACAAGTACTCAATGACCTAGTTAGCAAATTGTATAGCATTTTCCCTGTTTGCACCTTAACTTCTCTGCTGAGTTCCATACTGTTGAATACACCCTTCTGTACACTGGCTTCTCCCTTGGCCTTTGTAATAGCTCTCTCCTGGTTGCCCTGTATATCTTAGTCTTAATGGTCTCCTTTGGCCACAACTGTGGCCAACAGAAACTATTAAGAACTAGTATGCAAATATATGGGGAAAAGTTAATCAACAAACCGATTTGAGTACCTACTGTGAGTCAAGCACTGTGCTATGTACTGGGTATATGAAAACACATAAATAATATAAATACAAAGTATATACAATGTAATATTGGGAGCAGAGGAGGTAGTAGCAACCAGAGAGATACATACACAGAAAAATAATTCAGAAGAGAATACAAATGTCAATTTTGTTACTATCTTGTAAAATTTGATGTACATTTTTAAAAACTATAACAAGTATACAGACATGGATAGAGCATTTAGTAAGTGCCTACTACGTGTCAAGCTCTCAGAATACAAAAACAAGACAGTCCTTACTCTCAAGTAGCTTATATTCTTTTATGGGAAAACAAAATATAAAGCAGCCAGTATGGAGATAGAACAGACTAAAGAGTGAGCAAGAAGGAAACAAGCATTTATAAAGAGCCTACCAGACATTAAGTGACTTGTTTAGCATCATACAGCTAGTAAATACATGTCTGAAACTGGATTTGAACTCAGGCCTTCCTAACCAAGCCCAACATTGAATTATCCCCCATTAGATTGTGAGCTCCTTGAGGGCAAGGACTGTCCTTTGGCTCTTTTTGTACTTAGCACAGTGCCTGGAACTTAGCAGGCACTTACTAAATGTTTATTGATTGATTGCACTCAATCCACCCCAACATTTACCTGGAGAGTGAACAACTTAGCTAGGCCTTCTTATATGATAGTTCCAGGAAAAATGGAATCATCCACTTTGTACTAGACTAGCCAGTTTGGAGGCAAAGTAGATCTACATGGTGGTGGAGCAGGCCTGAGAGTCTCCTATACAGTCATATAATACAGTTTCATATGCAATCATTTTTATTCTTTGTGGTATTATTTTGTTTTGTGTTGATGATTAAGTTCAAAATAAAAAGTTTTTCTTTTAATCTAACAATAAGTTAGATTAAACTGAAACCAGTAGAGAATTGGATTTAAATCCAACTGAGTCAAGACAGGGAGTACTGAAGAGAATAAAGCTTCAAGTCCTAACTTCGTCACTTACTACCTTTGTGATCTTAGAAAAATAATTTTTCTCCCCTGGGTCTCAGTTTCTTCATCTATAAAATGGGGATAATAATCTCCAAATGCTCTAATGATCATCATTATGAGGATCAAATGTAATAATGCATTACCATGTAAGTATTATTTGATAAATATCAGATCAACTTTTCAAATCCAGGTCTTTTCTGACTTCAAATCCAGCAATTTTTCTATTGAGTCACCCTATTTTCATTTTTTTCTTTTCCTTTAGGGCCAAGATCAGGTACTACCTCCTTCATGATGAAAACTCCCTCATGCTGCCTAGTGATATGATCACTGCCCTCTGAAGATTTTCTTAGAGTAATTTGTCTTGACCTTTTCCTTTTTCCCTTTCACATTTTACTTTGTATCTGCTTACCTAGGGTATCTTCTTTATTGGATGGTAAACTTCTTGGGCATGTGATGCTTTTCATATTTGTATCACAAGTGTCTACTTAGTTCAGTGTATTATATGTAGTAGTTAAATGATACATGTTTGTTGAAATGGAAGACACAGAAGGCAAAGAGCTTTAGATGTGTAGTTAAGATAAGTTGGAGGTGGAGCAATGAGTGATTGCCCCTGCTACCTCCAAGGAAGAGGGCATAAGATCAAAGAACCATGGAATTTTAGCATTAGGAGGATCCTTAGAAGTTTTCTAGGTCAATCCCTTCATTTTACAAATAAGGAAATTGATTCCTATATCCCAAAATTGTTACATTACTCTAATATTCCTTTATATGTACATCTCAGTGGGCTTTAATTAAAAAAGTTTCAATAAAAGCTTTAGTAAAGCATCACTGCACCTTTGAATGGGTGGTAAGTATCATTTATTTCCTTTTTGTTGATGGAGAAAATCAAAGGCACAAAGAAAGATGATTCTCCCAAGGAGAAACAACAGATGAGTAGTGGTTAGAGGTGGAAGTAAAACTCATGTCTCCAGATTCATAGTTTTCAAGTACTGTTAGAATTCTAAGTTCTATATTAGGTTATTTATTCATTGATTTAGCATTTCTTACGGGCCTACTATGTGCCAGGTACTGGGTAAGGTGAAGGAAGTACAAAGACAAAAAAGAAACATTCCCTAATATCAAGGAATTTATATTCTACTATGGGGGATTTTTAGTTATGGCAACTCCTAAATGGAGGACATACTATGCCTTTTAAATAAGCAGTATTTTTGACGTGTTAATTATGTCAGCCAGAATTGTCTTTTTTTTTTTCTTTCCAGTATTGCAATACCTGAATATAGCCAAGGTGAGGGACAGGAAGTCTAGTGCTTTTTTTAGTCAGAAACTAACTGACCATGACACTATACATGCACTCTTGAGGAACACCCTTAATTTTAATACTTGGATGGTTCTATGATTTCATCTCTATTGGTGCTCCATTAACCAATAAGGTTATAATCAACCCAGGTCTTTTCATTCAGTTTGATTTTATTCTTGTTCACATTGTAATGGGGGTCCAGCACATATGCAGACTCCCATCAACTTGTTCAGGTGGAGCCTCTCCACGTGGAGGATCCTTTGGAGATG